TCATAATATGTCCCAGCCAGTTAGCTTTCCTTCGTGTAATCGCCTGCAGAATGTTTCTTTGCTCGTTGACTCTCCTCAATACTTCTTCGTTGGTCACTCGATCCGTCCACCTGATCTTCTCTATTCTTCTCCAACACCACATTTTAAAACTCTCCAGGTATTTCTGTTCCTTCTTCCTGAGTGTCCAAGTCTCTGCTCCATACAGCGCGACACTCCATACGTAACACCATTAGTACATATTGAGCTTTTATGAAGGAGTCTGGGTCGGAGTCGGAGATTTTGGTACCGACTCCACAGACCTGGTTTCAACCATTAAGGTGGAACCGGTCTTGAAAATATATTCGGTTCAAATCATTTAATGTTCGTTAAGGAATTTTTTATTTTTTATTTTTTTGGAATATAGAACAACGCTGCTGCAGTGCGAAATGTTTTTGTGATGATAATAATAGTGCAAGGAAAGCATTCAGTATAATCGCCACAAAACCATCTGTACTAGGAACATCGTATGTAATAACGGAAGTGTTAGTCTGAAACTTGAAGCCTGAGTGGTGAGGTTCATCATAAACTCAAGGGGAGAAGTACCAAGAAAAGAAATAAACTTGTGACAACAGAAAAAATATTATTGATGGCAAGTAACGTGTATGGAACACTGTCTTTATTTAAACACTAATAATTTCTCAGGCAGTTAACAATTTCTTTGTTTTTTTGCTCACGTAAGTTCGCCATTTGACTCAATCCTCAGTTGAATTAAGCCCTGTTTCTATAAGATTGAATTTAATACCGTTAGTATTGTTCTGTGCCGTTCAGGATTTCCGTAAAATATTTTGTATACATTTTTCCTCTCCTTCATATTTGGCTTATTCCCTTTGAGATAATAACAATACCATTTGATTCAACTCTTGTCTCTGTCGTTACATTACAAATATACCGTCTGTCTACGCGAAGAATTGACTTGATCTTTCGCCATGACGTCATGATGAATGTTGTCCTTAAAACATTGCCTCTTTGAAGCAATCGGCATGATATTTGATAAGAAGGGTGTGTTACTAGTGACCCGACTAATATAATAATTTATGTATAAACTATAAAGTACTAAAGGAACAAGAGAAAACTAGGAAACTAATGGAGAACTGGGTGTGAGCCCATGTGTTGAAACCGCGTTTTATAACGGCTGTGCGCTGATGGGTACGTCTTTTTGAAGGTTAAGTAAATTCTCTGCTTCGACAGACAGTGGAAACAAGAGACAATTACAATGATATTGATAATCAACATTCATCTCCTTTATCACAACTGATCACAGAGAAACAGACTGTGAAACGACGATAATAGGTTTGAACTAGCTCAGGATGAGGTCCAATGACGACGAATTCTTCTCAACTTTTGATACAGTTCGCGCACACACTGCGCTGCGCTAATGCAGAATGATGAACTATTGTGTGTTTCGAATAGGAATAGGCGAAGTGCGCATGCGCATGAAGTTCGCTGTTGGTGTGCTGAGGAACGCGACTATTTCAAGCCACGCAAGAGCGTGTAGGATTGTTTGTAAACACGAAGATTTCAAACAGTACCTTACATACAAATAGCGGCTAAATGACACATCAAATCTACCACCCAGAACGCCTTTCAACGTCGGGTTCGTAGTTCGCTTCCGGTCCGCGAGGCTGAACGTTTGCCTCTACATTGTTACAAATTCATGTCCAAGTAACAAGGTGATATTCATGAAAATTATTTTGCAAGCAAAGAAAAGAATGAAACTGAAGACTTTCTGCCTTCAGAAGATTAAGGAAATAAATTGGCAACTGGCTGTAGTGACAGAAGAGAGCCACAAAAACCATCGCCACGAGGTTCTGCTGAGGAGTTTGTACTGATATCACAAAGAGGTACAGACATAAGTCACAATGAGGTCTCACTTTTCTGACGTTAGCTTCTCCACCTGATTTTCAGCCCTAACAAAAGGACACTCTTAACATGGACACGTGATACTATCATTTCGTCTGTATCGAATTTGCGTCACGCATAGAAATATCTCTCAACTTTAAGTATAATACTGAGACTTGTTTATTGAATCTTACCGTCGTGGTACAACTTACGGATTCAGCATTTAGAATTGCTGACTGAGGACGCGCTTTCTTAAACTGGCAATAAATTGTTTCCCAAGAGACTTGCTTTCATCTCTAAATGTATAGGGAATTTGTGTCTCTTCGGCTAAACCACATTTCAGTCATAAGAACCCCTTCCTTGGTAGTGCTATAAAGTGGCTGTCTGGTTCTTTAAGATGACTCACCAATTGTGCCTCTATCTATTCCGTAAAATGTATTTTGAAATTTTCCCCAACTTCGGTTTTCAGTACTAGTACCATTTCTGACTTCTACTCATCTGATGTCAAGTTTTAAGCACGGTTAAATAATGAGTGGATTCTCGCACAGATGTTTCCTTTGATATGTGACTCATTATTTTGAAGATGCTGTCTTCTGGGTTGTTTGGCCGTGTAGTCTGGCAGTAGTTTACCGACGTTCCATCCATTATTTTATTTCCAAAAGTTTGCATATAGCCACATTCTGATGTAATTTCTTACCTGCCGTTATATTTTGATTTCGTCCTGCATTTTTGTAACACACTTGGTGTCTCATGAGTTAAGTTACTAGCGTTTAATACACTTCCTGTGTTTCTTTTTATGAAATTCGTGTTTTTGCTTAATGAAGTGACATCATTAGCGTGTGTTCTATTCAGTGTAATTAAAATATGATTTTCTTAACATTTTCTAACGAATTCTAAAGCGAACTCTAAAACAAAATACAAATAATTCTTTTAGGTCAGGTAATTCTGTGGAGGATATGAGTTAGGATAAATGTTTTCTTATAGGCTACAACATTTTCTGTACGTTTTAAAAATATATTTTAATCAGCGTGACTAATTTTTTGGGTTTACCGAATTTAACTAAAGTGTTATGCAATGCTTCTATCCTGAGTCATGCACTGGGCTTCTAATGCGGCTTATTTAAGTAAAACAACACTTAGGGTGTTCAAACACAAAACTTTCAAGTCATGACCACTCAGCATCCCAACAGATGATAATTTCTTTACAGTATAATATGAGTTGACATATATTCGAAATTAAATAAAAGTGACCCTTGAAAGGCCTATGATAATAGCTAGTCGGGTCTGAATATGAAGGAAAGAAGGGTTTGATACAGTTTATAACCATGTACAACTTTAAATTTATGCTTCGAATAATCTGGGCAAAGTGAATAATAGTTAGTTACTCACTTTGTTCACTTTGCCCAATGCATCGCCTCTGACGTTTAACAGATTTTAACCTTCAACGTAATGGATGACAGAACTTTGCTGTGACTGTGGTCTACAAGGAATACTGTCACATATCCTACCAGAAACACAATATTTATGCAGCTCTTAGAACATGTTGAAAAAATCTGTGCACATACAGTGAAATATTTTAACATGTGCACAAAAGCTAGAATTACAAGCCCTACACCAGTTTCCCAGGAGACATTGGTCTTGATGTGTCGTATTCATAGCGAAAAATGAACCTTTTTGACTTTGCCCGAACCTACCAAAAGCGACACAGCAAAAAACACACTCGGGAAAGATAATTCCCTCGGATTTGGTGTAAACCTCTCAAATCTTATTATTAATTTGA